AGAGAGAGAGAGAGAAGAAAGAACGAGATTGAGAGTGCGCAACTCTCCTCTCGTGGCGAGGAACAACGTTTCGATTCGTCTTTTAGCGTGCCGATGATCGTCGAGACGCCTTCGCTGCCGCAAAACCATAATTCCCCATTGGCGAGAAGAAACCTCGGCCGCTTCTGACGACCTCGGTTACTTTTCATCCGTCAAAATTCAACGGGCGCGCAGACACAGCGGTATGTTGAGACGCGTAAAGAAGAAGGAACGAGGGACACCGATAGTCGAGGGACGAAGACCGAGGGAGAAGGAAAGGGGATGGAGCGTATCGTCTGGCAAACAAGGACAGACGGTTGAACACGGTACACGGCGCGAAATGCTCTTCACTGATTTCCTTCTCTAAATATGGCCGCCTTCGTACATCCTCTCTTTCTCTATAGCGGCGCGGCTGGTGCACCCCCTTCCGATAACCACCCATAACCGCCCCTGCTTGCCCGAGGTTCTACTTGATTGCCAAGGCGTCTTAACCTCGGCCTCGGTTTGTCCGCGCGGACTCTCTTTGCGTTCGCTCGGTGAAAAAGCACCACGTTGGCCTATAAGAGACGCGAGCCAACCACTGTAGCCAACCTGAACGCAGAAAAATCCGAGGCGACGCCCAGTGGGCGAATAAAGAGGCGTAATCGAGAACGAAAAAGGCCAATCCTGCCGGAAGAGCGCAGTAACACCGACCAACTGGCTTCCATATGGAACGCGCTGACAGCCGTCCGTTAACTCCGCGTGGACTGTTTCCCCAACCTTTATTATGCCTTTCTACGCGCCAGTATACGTGTGTATAGACACGGCTACAAGCGAGCCCGGCCTATACTCTCCCGCTGGTCTCCTCGAGAGTTCCGCACTATGGGTAGGAGTCGAAGAAGGAAGAGGGTACGACCCCAGGGGTCGCGGAAGAAAGAAGAAAGAGGAGGCAGGACGGTCACCAAATGAACGAACATTTCCGTGGCACGGACCACGAAAAACGTTCGAACGCAGAGAATAGCGTTGCTCCATAATAGTCGTGTGCTGGTAGTGGTTGGTGATAGTCGCGCACACTGGTAGTAGTGCTGTGCCTGCCATTCGTGTAGTCGGCCCACTCCACACGCAGCTAGTCCAGCCAATTAATACCAACGCCTTTCGCTCCCAGACTTCGAAAAATCCTCTTGTTCCTAGCCGCGACAACGAGCAGCCGGAGGTCCATTCGATGATATCGTTCCTGGTAGCCCAACCGTTTCGTTGACAAGTGCAACCAAGGTGTTATCCCTCCGTGAAAAAGTTTCGTCGAATTACTGAACTCACCTTCATATAGTATATATACGTATATATATTATATATACTTCTCGAATGTTTTCTGTTCTAGGATACTGTCGTGGATTTATTCGAGTCGAGAC